CAAAAAAAAATCAACAAATTAAAAAAAAGACATTAAATTAAACGAAGCAATTAAAAAAGACTTTTATCCAACTTCCGGCGTGGAATTTATTTACTTATTTAATTATCCAAAAAAAAAAAAAAAAAGAAAAAAAGTCAATTAAAAATTAATTTTCCGATGTTTTTTAAAACCTGAACGTACATTTTCTTCTTCTCACACTTCCCTTTCCTTTTTGCGTACACGCGCACGCACTCACGCTCGCACACGAACGTTTTAAAGGAAGGATCATGACCTTTGCCTAAGAGATATTTATAAAAAAAAAAAAAAAAATCAAAACTCAAAGGAGTGGCAAATAATTGCAAAGAGTGTCGAAATACTACTAAATGTTGTAAAATGTTTTTATAAGTGAAAGGTATAAAAAAAAATACAAAATGAAATTTTGACTTTTCAACACAAAAAAACCTTATTAAAAATCCAACGGAAACACGTGACAAACATCATCATCATCATCATCATCATTATTATTATCGTCATCTTTACGATTTGTAATTAATAAAAATCTTATCGTCACATTATATATATATATATGATATCCCGTGAAGGTAATTTATTGTAATTTTTCACCTCAGGGGTAATTTTCAGGTACGTTTTCCTTTGAAAAAATTAAATTTGTTTTCCCCCCCCACACTCCCCCTTCCCCCTCACTCACGTAAAAATCGAAAAGAATTTCCGGAAAATTATTCACAACATGATTTTTCATGTACGAACGAATAAGAAAAAACAACCAAAGTAATAATAATAATAATGATAAACGATTCATTCCTTTTTATTACAATCCTCACCTCCTCAACACATTCCCCCCCACCATCACCGCCACCACTACGCCACCGCCGCCGCCATCATCATTTTTATTTCATTCCGAGTATTGCAAAACGTGAAAGTCAATTATTAATTTCTTATAATCTAAGAAGATTCACGGAGGAGATTTTAATATTAAAAATAAACGATGACGTAACTCTTACAATTTGAATCCGCTTTTAAAAAGAGAGAGACAGAGAGTGAGAGAGAGGGAGAGAGAGAAGACTTCATCAAGAATCTAATTCTCTCACTGTTTGCAAAACGCGCCATTATCATCAATATGCCATGATGATGATGATGATGATGATGATGAATTAACAAGTTTTAAACGAACTCGCATCGAGAGAGAGAGAGAGAGAGAAAAAATTACAAATAATAATAATAATAATAATAATACTAACAATAACAACAACAACAATAAAGGTATTGACAAAAAAAAACGAAAATGGCGGCGTTGGCCATTGAAAAATTATATTTAATCTCGCGGTATGGATGAATTCTCGAAACTTCGCGAGCCGGTAAACGAGAATGAATAAATAAATTTATTATTATCATTATTATTTTGTTGTTATTATTATTGTTATTATTTTTTCAAGTTATCGAATTGTAAAATTAAATAAATAAATAAATAAATAATGCTCTCATTTAAAAATCGTAAGAAATGGATCGAATGGGGTAAATAAAATCATAATAATATTGATGAGTGGGAAGAAAACCTTCCTTAGTGCGAGGAGTAAGTAGTAATTAATCAGTCAATGAATGAGAATGAATGAATGAGAGAGAATGAAAGAGAGAGAGAGAGAGAGACTACATCTCATTCATTCCATCACACACACACCGCAAATAAATAGCATCTAAATTGCATTCTTTGATGAATTTTTGTAATTAACAAAATTCGCGTTAAAAAAAATTCCTTCCACCCCTCTCTATCTTTCTCTCTTTCTCTCTCGTTCCTTTTTATATGATTTCTCTTTTTTTTTAATGCAACGTTTTTAACATTAAATCTTTAAATTTTTTGCCTTGCATCGCCGTAAAAAGAAAATTCTATACATATTTTTTTTTTTTTTTTACCGCAAATAAAATTTATTTACATTTTTTCCTCCTCTCTCTCTCTCTCTCTCTCTCTCTATTAATAATAATAATAAAAAGCTTTGAAATAAAAAAAAGAAAAATAAAAGGAAAAGGAAAAAAATAAAAAAAAAAGAAAGTAAAATTCATCTCTCATAAATCAATCAACACACACACCCGAAGCACACAACAACAAAAAAAATTTATTTCTTTTTTTTTTTTTTATTTTGGGGCCGACCCTATTAAACCTAACATCTCTGTTATTTTGACACACGGAACCACACCACCGACCCATTACAACAACAACAACAACAACAACCATGTTAAAGGTTTTTGTTTCTTGTCTTGTTGGTAAAAAAAAAAAAAAAAAAAAGTGAAAACTAGGTCAGTGGCAACCATTGAATCGATCGATCGATCGATCTAATTTGAATGTTTTTGTTGTCAATTTTTTTTTTTTGTTTGTTTGTTTGTTTGTTTGTTTGTTGTTGTTGTTGAATAAATGACCATTGTCGATATGAGAACAATGTACATATATATGTATATATTCAGAAAATATTTACCCGCAACTCGTATATTCTCTATAATATAAAAAGGGGTCAATTGAATTGTAAATCAACCTACGACGATTTCGTCGGTTCATCTTTTTTACTTTTTTTTTTATCACAGTCGTCATTGATATATTTTTATGATGACAACAACAACAACAACAATAACAACCATCGAAAGTTTTTTTCTTTTTTTTTTTTTCTTTTTTTTCCTTTTCCTTTTTTTTATGACTTTTTTTTTTTTTTTAAAATTTTTTTCATGCTTTTCTCTTTCTCTCCCCCTCTCTACCTTTTTTTTCTTCTTTTTACCTTTTTCTTTCTTTTTTTTTTATTTAGATCAAAGTTTCCGCGCGAAATAAACGTTTCGTTTTTCGGCATCCGACTCATAAATTAAAATTTTTCGATATTACAAAAAAAAAAAAAAATAATAATAATAAAAAGGAATTTAAGAAGCACCCGGAAACGTGACACTTACAATTTACTAAAATTCAAACCATCCTCTTCCTTACCAAAATACCAACCGTATCAAACGCATGCGAAGACAACTAAAAAACAAAGAACAGAGGGAGAGGGGGAGAAGACCGAAAGAGAGAGAGAAAGAGAGAAAGCAATACTTAACATTTTATCGATATGTTTACATTCGATTTTCCTGACGGTTTTTTTTTTTCGGGGGGACAACCTCTCCCCTTCAGCTCACGACACCGAAAAAAAATCGATTTCCCCCCTCACCACCACCACCACCCTACCCCTATTTAAAAAAAACGCGAAACCCAAGTTTTGCAAATTAACAACGAGGATATTTTTAATAATAATAATAGTTACGTAACATGACGAAAATATTAAAGAACTCCCCACCTCTTCCTCCTCTTTTCCCCCCATTATTTTTCTTTTGAATAATATATATTATTAAACGAAAACTTAATGCTTTTGCATGTTTTTTTTTGGAAGGAGGGGGTCCGTTAATCTAAAACAATCGAATATTAGTTAATTTTTAAAGTAAATTTAAATCTTGACCTTTTAAAATTTTTTTTTGTTAACTTCTTACAAATTTTATAACTCATTAATTGACTCGACCAACCCCCGCCCCCAATGGTTCGTCGAAACGAAACTAAAATAAATTAACCTGCTTTTGGGGAGGAAGGAGGGAGAAAGAGAGAGAGAGAGAGAGAGAAAACAGCAACAACAAAATATGACCTCCTTTGATGTGGAGGAGTCGTAAGGTTAACCGGGTTTCGATCAATTTGGTAAAAATAAAATCTATTATTATTATTATTATTATTATTATTATTATTAAATATCGAGAAGATTCTTTCCTTGATCCCCGTCCGGAAATTTTTTTTTTTTTTTTTTTGCTACCGAATAATTAAAAGGGACGAACGGTTCGTGTATGCGGGCTCTTTATTTAACGTAATTTATAGATTTCGAAAAAAAAAAATATATTTAAAACCTTTCCGGTCGTCCCTGTCATTTATTTTTTATTCTACATTTTATTAAACGTTACGCAAACCCCGGAAACAGATTAGAAAATAATAATAATAATAATAAACAAAACTTAAAAAAAAGGCCATTTTTCCGAATCGAACTTATGAATCATTAAAATCAATGACTTAGAATTTATATTCAAAAAAAAAAGAAATCAAAGGCCTTATACATCGTACGCCGTTGCGTGTGATTGCCTATTATTATTATTATTATTATCATTATTATTATTATCGTGAAGCGTTCGACTTACCTTCAAATCTTTGAAGAATATTGAATTTCTCGCCCAATCCACTTGCGAAAACAAATTTTGGTCCAACACTTTACACATAAGTTCAAACAAATCCACTTCACATTGATTGTACGTCTGGTTTTGTAAAAGTCCAAACAAGCTGTTCTGCCACTCCCGATCGTCCACGCTCGATATAAAGTCTCTTATCATAGGTGAAATTTTATTACAACTAGAACTGGAAGAGTTTCCGGGACCGCCGGAACTCCCGTGAGGTAACGAAACACCGTCGAACGGAAAGGCTTTAGGTGAAATTGAATTAGGTGACGGGGTCGTCGAGTTGGCCGTACCCCATAGTTTGTGGTCGCTGCTAGGCACGAGGTTGTTTGAGGTGGGGTTACCGCCGGTTCCGACGATTTGCAAAACGGGCGGTTGACCCGACTGCGTCGTCGCGATCATGTTCGCGGACGTCGTTTGACCGAACGACACGGTTATCGGACTCGGCGACGAATCCGGACTGCTCGTCAGGCTCGACACCTGCGGGATTTGTATCTCCTGTTTTATGTTGTGTAGGTTTTCAAAGTGGCTCGGCGGACCGTAGCTGAACGCGACCTGTCCGTCAGTTAAAGGGTGACCCCGAATCGTTTGAACGGCTATCTGCCTCTGACGCATCATTTGCAACTTTCTCGCTCTATCTCTTTTGTACATTGGACCAAATTTATTTCTACCACCGCGCATTCTGTCGGCGCGAACGGCTGAAAAGAAAAAAACAAAAAAATTTAAAAACATTGACACGATCTCGTGACACGATTACTTAAACCTAAAAAATACTCAAACACCCATATGCTTCTCAATGTTAGGATAACCTATATTTCAAATTATGGTTGCGCTAAATAATAATAATAATAATAATAATAATTATTATTATTATTATTTAAAAAAAAAAAAAATCCCAAAATAGTTTTGGTGACCTAAAAAAATTCTTATTTTTTTACTTTTAAATACAAGAATATCATCAAAGCGTGTCTACAAACAATAATTAAAAGATAAAAAAAAAAAAAAAAACCTAAAAAAATATGAGATCACAATGAAAAATTTACTCCGGTTTACGACAATTATTAATTATTCCTTTTTTTTTTTTTTCATTGTCTGATATTATTAGAAAAACAACAAAGTTGTGTAAAATACGATAGCTAGCACGTGGATTAGTTTTTCTTTTTCGAATTTAAAAACAAAGATTAAAAATTTAACCTTTTGACACCCCCCACACACATCCAGCATCGTACCCCTTTTTACGCAACTTTTTTTTTGATTTTTCCTAAAGTAGGACCTGTTAAAGTTCAAAATCGGGATCTCGTCGTCACAACACATGATTTGAAAAAGAGTTAAAATCAGTATGTTATGAAAAAAAAAAAAAAAAAAGCAGAAGACAAACCTTAATATATATGTATATATGCAAGGCACGAACTGATATATTTTTCGTGTTTTTACGTTTTAATTTAAAACAAGAAAATTCGAATCGAATCAACGACCCAACGTAAGTAAGTTAAAAACTACACATTATCATCATCATCATCATCATCATTATTATTATTATCATTATTATTATTATCATTATTATTATTATCATTATTATTATTATCATTATTATTATTATCATTATTATCATTATTATTATTATCATTATCATCATTATTATTATTATCATTATTCAATGGATCTTGAGAGAGAGAAAAAAAAGCGAAAACAAAATTTAAAATCCTTTTCCTATTCTTTCTTTTTTTTTTTTTTAACGAAATCGTTGGGTTTTTAAATTTCCCGCGCATTTCATTCAATTTTTTTTTTTGTTTTCTCCTTCGAATATTAATAATAATAATAATAACAACAATAATAACTTTTTAGAAAAATTCCGTTCGATTTTTTTTTTTCTTTTTCTTTTTTTAAAACGAAAATAAATTACCTTGAATCAATGAAAAAAAAAAAAAGAAAAAAAGAAAAAGAAAAAAAAGCGCATTATCCGTTGCTAATAATATTAATATTAATATTATTATTATTATTATTATTATTATTACTATTTAAAAAAATTTTTTTTTTTTTAAACGAAAATAATTACGGATTGCAAAATCAAGGAAGAATGATGATTCATTTCAAGGTTTTCATTTTTTTTTCTTTTTCTTTTTCTTACACACGAAAAGATTTTTCCGATTGACAATTTTTTTTTTCTTTTTTTAATGGACGATTATTAAGAATAGTAATAATAATAATAAGCGTGAGTCAAACCTTCACTTCCGTTATCAATACATAAAAACCTGGAATTAATAATATCCCCCTTCATATATATATATTTTTTTTTTCGTGAAAATGATCCAAAAAAAAAAAAAAAAAACTCCAAGGGAAAATGATGAAAGGGCGGGGGAAGGGAAGGAGGGGAGGATAGAAGAGGGGGGAAGGCAAAAGAAAAGAAAAACAATCATTAGAACGTCAAATTTTCTCGTATAAAACTCGTAAAAAAAGTAAAAATAATTTCGGTAATGGATTCCAGTGAAAATAAAATAAAATAAAATCTGGAGAACCGAATTTTTATTATGTATTTTTCATCTCACTCTCTCCTCTCTTCCCCCCCTCTCTCTCATTTTATTATTCATCGTCGAAAGGCGCTCTGCGGTTGTTTTTAACCAAAAAAAAAATAAAATAAAATATTACCAACCGTAACGAAAAAGAGGAAAAAAAAAAAAAAACTAAAATTGAATATTAAAAAAAAAAAAAAATGTCGTCGACACAGATTTCGAAACAATGTATATGAGAGGAGGGGGAACCATGAGAACGAACTACCTGGAACGCACACATATGATTTTCCAGTCACTGGCTCCGACATATTGTTTCTCTATGAAATTGTACTCAGGGGGGAAAAAAACAAAACACAAAAAACAAAAACAAAAGCAAAAAAACTGAAATTCTTAATCGTATTTACAATTACTTTTTGTTTATTTGAAAATCTACAATAATAACAATTATTATTATTATTATTTTAAAACAACAACAAACAACAAAACGAAAAGTATTGCCAACATGCACGCAAAAAAAAAAAAAATTATTCGAATCGGTAAATTAAATTTTTTTAGACGCAAATTAAAAACGACGTCAACAATGTCGACCAAATTGATCAGCGACGACAAAATCAAAATAATAATAATAATAATAATAATAATAATAAGCCAACGGCCATAGCGTGCTGGTCACACCGGTTCCCGTACGATCACCGAAGTTAAGCAGCATCGGGCGTGGTGCAAACTTGGATGGGTGACCGTCTGAGAACGCCACGTGCTGTTGGCTTAAAAGAGCAAAAAAAAAAAAAAATGAGAACAAGACAAAGTAAGAACCAAAAAACAAATCTTGTTCTACTGTCGACCTGAGGCAGCTCGACGAGAACGTGAATTTCACTGCTTCTGACCCTGGCCACTCCAAAGATGTTAGTCACCGGAGCCCAGTTCAGGAGACAAATCGTTCCCATCGAAAAAGACGGACTCAGGAAGACCTTCAAGAATTGATGTGGTGCTATCTTATAATAAGTGGCACCACCGAAATTCGAGTATTTGTCCCTAAGGAATCGGGTAGAAACCTCGGATAAATACTTAAAAACTCCGACAAGTAGCCTTGTCGTGTTTAATGGTGGATAATAATAATAATAAAACGAAAATAATTTAAGTAAAAGAGCAAAACCTGAAAAATACGAAAAAGAAAAAAAAAACCTTGAAACACTTTTAAAGAAAAAAAAAAAAAAAACTCTGGGAAACGGAATTGCCAACCTAAATTAATTTTTTTTTTTTCCATTTTGAAAATTTCATCTTTAGACTACGAAAACACCAAAAAAAAAAAAAAAAAATTACGAAAACTTTTAAAATTACCCCTCCCTCTCTCCCTCCCCTTATGGATTTATCAGGCTCCGAATCGATAATTTTAATTATAATTATTAATATTATTATGATCATTATTATTCCACCGCGAGTAAATAAATTTTCTTCGTTTTCCCCCTCGTTTATCTTTTCATCATTCCCCCCAACCTTGTTATCAGTGTACTCTTCTTTCTATTATCATTTAAAAACCAATTCGCGCCAAAAATAAATTTTTATCACAACCACAACAATTAATAACCCTTCCTAAAAGAAGGGGGGAAGGGAGAAGGGGAAGGAGAAAGAGCTCCTCAAAAACACGTTTGCATATTTTTCATTTTCACGGTCATCCGACAGCAAAATTGATAATAATAATAATAATAATAATAATAATAATAAAACACCAATTCTTAATGAGCTTTCGAAATCTCGTATAAATTTCAACAAGAGATGAGAAAAAAAGAAAGAGAGAGAGAGAGAGAGTGAGAGTGAGAGAAAAAAAATAAAAGAAAATTTAAGGACGACCTTGATAATTACATTAAAATATATTGATGATAACGGTAATAAAACAAAAACAAAACAAAGAAAAAAAAAAATCGAAAGGGAAAATTCGGCCAACTTTTATATATAAAAAAAAAAAAAAAAATCGAAGGCCAAAGAAATATCCGATTTAGAAAAATAAAAATAAAAAAACTTTTACTATTTTACGAAAAAAAAAAAAAAAAAAAAACACGCACGCGCACACTTTTCGTAGTAAGTAATCACGATGGAGCATAGAATCTCCCCTCCCCTACCTCCCCTTTCCTCCCCCCATGAAAACCGACATCTTTCGAACATCAGTCAAGAAAAAAAATCTCTTTTGGCTTCTTCCTTCCTTCGAGAGTGTGTGTGCAAAGAAGAGGGAAAAAAGAAAAAAAAAAATTCTCACGAGTTTTATTGCCAACATGTGAACAAAAAAAAAAAAAAACCAAAAAAAGCTTTAAAAAACAGAAAAATAGAAAGAAAAAAACGACGAATCAGCACGAACATTCGCAAAAAAAAAAAAAAAAATTTTTTTCTTTTTAAAATTGCTTTTTAAAAAAATGACCCAAATTACAAAATTATGTTTATGCGTCCTAATTTCACGCTTTAAAAAAAAAAAATTTAACATAACGACAACTTTCAGTCCAAACAAAGTCATTCAACGTGATATTGAGACTTTTTCTCTTTCTCTCTCGTTGTACAAACTCAATGACGAGAACAAACAACAACGAACAACAACAACAACACGGATTAAGTGCATTCATTGATCGATCGAAAGACAACATCTTGTGAAAAAACATTCGTGCGATTTTTTTTTTTGATTTAAATTTAATTGGCTGATAAATAATCGTCTTGTGATCCCATCAATCATTTCCCCCTCCTCCTCTTACTCTCCATTTCTCCTCCTTCTCTTCTCCTCCTCCCGGTTTGTTTTTCCTTTTACGCGAACGACGACGAAGACAAAAAGAAAAATAAATTGAATTTTCTGAGTCAAGGACGGACGGATATTGGGGAGAGAAAGGAAGAGAGAGAGAGAAAGAGAGAGAGAGAGAAAGAGAGAGAGAGATTGATCCAAGGCCACGAGGCAACGAGTCGAACGAGAGAAAGAAAGATGGAAAATACTTTCACCGTGGGGTTACATAAAAAAAACTATTATGGTATAACAGGAGTAGTAGAGTTTCGTAATAGTGCAACGTTTCAAGGTCGCCGATGACTTTCTTTTCTTTCTTTTCGATTATGTCACTTTCTCCATGCTATTTCATTCACCGACATTCGTTAAAAAAAAAAAAGGTGTTGATAACGTTCAAGGTCTTTAAGTTACGTCTT